AGGAAGGAGAATTATTATGTATTGCTAATTATCTTGTTGGTATAATTGTATGTGTAACATTGTATTTATTTAATTGAGGTATTCAGTTTAGATTTTAACTATGGTTGAATTGATGTCTCTGCAATTTTATCTGTGATTGTCTTGTGACTGTTGTTTGACAAGTTTTATATTCAGTGCCAGTTGCACACTTATGAATACTCTGAAACGTTGATGTACGTATGTATCAGGCAAAACCATTTAACAGGAGATTTCTGCAGTGATCATCTGTAAGCCAACATGGCAAAACGTGAGCCTACAAAACAATCACCAACAGTACCTACCCAAACTTTAATGCTGAACTGTTGCTGATGTCTAGAATTGAGTATACCATGAGGATTGTCCTCTGCCCACTGGTGGTGGCTGTCAAAGTTTACGACACCATCTACAACAAAACCTGCCTCACCTGAAAAGGGCACTAACAAAAGAAAGGGAGGCTCAGTATATTGCTGTACAAACCACCAACACAAAGTCTCTTGGGCTGGACAACTGGCAGGCTTGAGACCTTGGACTTGCTATATTTGGTTTGGTATGGGAACTGCTCATACCACACCCTCCAGATGGTCATTTGTGTCACATTTAACTCTGCTATTATTTGTCTCATGCTGACACCTGGATTTTCTTCAACATGGTCCAGGACATGTTCTTCAATGTCAGGCATCTGGATGGATCTCCCTCTTCCCCAGTTGAGAGCAAAAGGACCAGATGTTCCAGTCCCTCTAAGCTGATGATAAATGATGGCAAATGTTTTATGGTTTGGATGGCGACAGTGTGGGAACATTACCTGAGAGAGGTGTATGGTCTTCCAGCCATTGCCATTTGCATGGCCATACATATGATGCATGTCTGCAAGTTTGTTAAATGGATACTCATCCATACTGTAGCAGATCTTCTTGTACAGTCTGCCACTGCACACAAGCAGTACACATTGTCTTTAATAGTGTGGCAAAGTGGTTTAAGGCAAATTTACTCTCGTTAAATGTGGATAAAACTTATTGTATGAAATTCAGCCTTAAACATGCAAACAACTTTGAAACTCAAGTCATATACAACAATAAAATTATTCCCTATACTACTGAATTAAAGTTTTTGGGGTTGGTATTACATAATAATATGTCTTGGAAGTCTCATATTGAAAATTTGGCTGTTAAACTCACTAAAGCTTGTTATGGTGCAAGAGTAATTAGACCTTTTGTATCATTGAACTCCCTTAAGATGATTTATCATGCATATTTTCATTCAGTTGTCATATGGATTGATTTTTTGGGGAACCTCTTCACATAGCTCAATTATTTTTAAACTTCAAAAGCGAATGGTTAGAATACTAATGAAGGCAAGACCTAGGGATTCCTGCAGAAAATTCTTTAAAATATTAAATATATTACCTCTGGCCTCACAGTACATATTCTCCTTGGCTCTGTTTGTGATTGCAAATAAAACTTGGTTCAGACAAAATTCTGAGATTCANTTTATGGTCATTTATTATCTTTTTCTTGTTCTATGACTGTTAATTACAAACTGGTAGTATTTTATGCTCAAGTAGTTTTGTGGTTGTACCTCTATCAATTAGCATACTTTTATAAAATGATTGAACTTTCCATGACTTGAGTGCGGTAATAGATGTGCTAATATGGTATTAAAATTTCATTTCATTTTATATAGTGGATAACTTTTTATGTACGAAGTTAGATAATTTGAATTGTTTTATCTGTTTATTAGTTCAAAATATTATCTATATTTATAATTTTTTAAATTGTTACCTTGTAATATTTATATTTGCTTGTTAATCTTATATTTAATTTTGACAAAATCGTTTTATGACTTCATGTTCTTTGACTTCCTCTATATCCAACAGTTGTACCAGCCTGGATTAACAGAAATGAAATAAATGAATGAATGAACATGACCAACACCACTCAACTTCTGAAACTGGACTATAAGCAGTGACACTGATTACAGCATTAAGAACATATCTGGTAGTCAAATAGAGGCTTCTGACAGGCTCTTTCTGCCATACAGGAAATATCAAGTCACTGATGGCAACAACATAAATTGAAATGGTCACTAAATTTGCTGGGCTGTAACTCTGAAAGACAGTTTGCACACCCATAATTGCATGAACTTGTTTCCTTGTTCTATTATATGGAATGCATCTCCAAAGTTTGTCAATAAATTTCAGACTCATCCTGTATACTCTGCCAACTCTCTGCTTTGTAGAATACTACATATTTCTCTTCCCTTTGTACGAATAACACTGTACAATAAATAACTTTTTACACGTATAAAAATCTGTGGACCCTATAGGAATGCAAACTCAAAAATGACCACAAGATGTATCTATCACTCACAGTTTTGAATGAATCGAAAATGACATAATGAGTAATTTAAAGATGTAATAGTATCAAAGCAGAAACTGCACATAAAACTCACTTACATTGCAGCTACTGATGACTGACATTTGTATTTCACCTTGGGGGATTTCCTTACTTATGTCCAGCAGTAGTTAGCCAACATACTGCAGCTCCACTTGCTCTAGCATCCCTTCTCCTTTGTGGGTATATCTTGAGGAATGTGTTCCCCATGCTCATCGCTAACAGCATCCAAATTTGTTTGGAAAAAGTTAAGGTGTGAATCCAAAATGTGAGTTTTTAATGACATCTTGCAGCACATGAATTTGTATGCATTGGTAAGTTCCTTACCACGTGATTTGTAATTTTGTGCAGTGAAGTTCCTGACCATTTCATATTAAACTTAGTTCAGTGAAAGCGGCCTCCGTAGTCTAGAGGTAACGTTCCCACCTCATGACTCGTAGTACGCGGGTTCAAATACCCGGCGGAGGTCGTCGAATTTTTAAGGGCGGAAAAATTCAGGGAACAAGTCCTCCGGGAGGGACTTTAAGCCGTGGGTCCCGTGTCGTAGCTTTACGGCACGTAAAAGAACCTCATATCTCCAAAGGAGGTCACTGAGCCAAATTACGGACGTTTGCCGCCCAACAGTAGTCTCTAATACCTCTGGTAGATGGGGGAAGCATTATAGATACCTCTCAGCTAGTAGAGCCGGTCTCGCTGGCTGGGCGGGACTGATGGTAAGCACCAGTACCGGTAGGATATAGAGACTGGTAGAATATCATACAGGGAAGCACAATGGACCAAGACAGATCTAAGTGCATGGGGAAACCCACCCTCTCCAATAACTAACTAACTAACTAGTTCAGTGAAAATTTGTGTTAAGGCCATGGATCAAAACAGCAGTAGTTTCTCAACATAAAACTGAAAGATCATAGAGGATCAAGGGAATATCTGTGGTCCCACAAATTAAAAAAATCATGAGATAAGCATGTCTGATGAAACTTTACATGAAGCTGAAGGTGCACAACTTTGAAAGAATTAAAAGCTGTAAGCGTAAATTTCATCAGAGTTTTTTTTTTGTATTAACCAGTGGTTTACTGATGGCATTTCTTTGACCTGGATTCAATGCTTATTGAAGTGGCCTTTCTTTATTTGAGCAATGATTTCCCTGTGTTTAGTTGCCCCATTCACAGAGGAAACAACAGAATTTTCTATAGACCAATTGTAAATCAAAGAGAAATGTGACCATTTTGAAGTCTCCATAATTATGCCAAGAATATTTATCATACTGGATATGTTTCACAAGATGGTGTATGCAGTCAAATTATGTCTTCTTACGAATGGTGTGTGCTATTGGAACTGAAGTGTATTTACTTCCATCATGGAGGAATATAGCTTCCAAACTCAACTTCAAGGAACTGATAAATAGGCACTAATTGTTTTAATTAGGATGTTGGCCAAGGACTTCCATGACAGCCAATGTTAAAAAAGTACAACAGATTTCCTTTCTGAAGAAAAATAATACAAAATCTTTTTAACACTTGCAAAACAAAGATATCTTAGTGTCTTTTTCTACAAGATGCCAAACTTTCAATCTAAAAGCCAAATGATTTTCTGGCAAATTCAGACCACAGACAAGATCACTGAGTCTGCTTCAGACATTAAAGACGTTATGCTGATGAACAAGTGGTTCAGGTTACCAGAGATCACACAAAATGTATAAAATACACAACAGTCACTGAGCAAAATCAGGTGACACATGAAAGTCAACATATAAGCTACATGGCAAAAATGAACAAGTATGGAACTGAACATGAACATGCAAACAGTGATGCACATAACCTAGAAAGCAGGGGTGGAACAGGTGGCAGATCTCTCCTGTCTTCCTACTGTAATGTAAATTCTAAAATTCTAAACTCCTATGTCATTTACAAACTGTGGTTGATAGAGAAATTATGTTTTCATTTTCTTAATCAGCATTAAAACATAAATATACATTATCTTAATATACCTGTATTACAAAAACACTGTTGAACACTGTAAATGGAAGAGGCACTACAGAGCATGGTAGTAGTCATCATCATGTTACTATCAATGACAAGTGGGTACTGTAGCATGCTGCTGGCTGCCAAGACTTGTGTCACATTTAAAACATAACTGTGCAAATAAAATCAGTGAATCAAATGAAAAGAAACTGACATATATCCTGTTGGACAATAAAAGAGGAGCCTTTTTTTCTTTGTAAAACACTGCTATGTCTATTTAAATAAAAATGACTCTTATTTCACGTATTCTTAATTCAAATTTCAGCATAATGTACTCTCATAATATCCTGAGGTCCCCTAAAGCAGGATGCAGTGAGATTTCACTGTATAAAGTTGAAACAAAAATTCAGTATGGAAATCTTATTCAGAACTGAGGTAAAATAAAATAAGACTACTATAGTAAGGATCAAACACAATCTCACAGAAATATGGCTGCTTGTAACAGTGAATGTCCACAAGACAGACAGCATCTGACTTCTTCTTCTGGCAGGTCTGCTACTTTTCACATATCTTCCCAACTTAGTATTGGGTTAGAAAAGAGTACATTCTCCAATAGAATATGAACCCTCACCTTCGTCTTCTGAGGGAAGCATTCTGTCCAGGCAAACCAAAGTAACCTCTTGGAATCACCATCCTAGCATTTCCCTGTGCAGGCCTAGAGCCACCATGTGCCAAGAGAGTAGTCAAGTGGGCAGCATAACCATCCTGCAGCACTGTTGCTAGCGAGTGGTGCTTTTTGGACACCTTTCCCACAATAAAAATTTGTTTTGCTTTCAGGCCAATTGAAGTGTATACACTGATGTCCTTACTGCTCCCATATGCTACATGCATCACCAACCCATGTTCCTGTAATATACAGAGACCATAATAATACAGCTTAGTGACGTCTTTGAACACAATTCCCAGTGTCTACAGCTGCAGAACATGACTTAAAAGATCTGCACCATTGCTATATAAAAGAAAAATACAGCAAAACTGCCAAAAAATACACACAGTAAAAATACATTTGGAGCAGTCACTATATTCTTATTTTATAGTGAAATAAGAAATGACCTTAACCAACACTGCAGTTTTTGAAAATTCATTAACATACATTTCAAAACCCTCCAGCAGTGTAGTGCTGAACTAAGTTTCATGAAAACTAGCCATCTAATCTAAGTTAAAGGGAGGAAGAAGCAGACATGAGCATACTATCCTACTTTTCTATGAAGAATAGAAAGTAGATTAAAAGAGAGAAAGTACTTTTTAAAGATAAAGTCACAGCACCACATACTACAGTGATTACAAAGTGTTTGATAGTCTTTTAAATGTATTCAAATTGGAAATTATGAAGTTTCTATATGTTTTTTTTTCTCACAGCTTATAGCAAGAATGGAAAGAACAAAGTCCTAGGCTTATGTAATCTAGATTTTATTATGAACCAAAATGGCTCAGAATTTCCTGACATTTGGTGGCCTTCATGGCCTGTTACAGGGATAGCTTTACTTTTTACTTTACTTGGTGGAAATATACCATGTTAAATTTCAATCAACACCGTGAAATGATTTACGGGATGCATTAACACATTCACTGATGGCCTCACGTAAACTAGGATTTGTGATGAATCACTATCACTGAAAATTGGACTTGTCCGACAACTTTTACTGGAAGCCTTCCATATATAATTTCAACAAAATCTGTGGAATGGTTTACAGAATATATGAAAAAGTCAATAAATACTGATGAAAACTAGAACTATCCAACAACTTTCAGCAGTCTTCCTTATCAGATTTCAACATTATCCACCAATGGTTTATGTGATATATGAAACAGTGCATATATGGCCTTATGTCAAGGCATTATTATGGTTGAAAATCAGAAATGCCCCAAAACTCTGTATGAGTCGCTCATAATAAATTTTAAGAAAATTTATCACATGGTTTAGGCACTGGTACTCATTTATTTCGCAAAAAATCTATCAGTAACCACTATTACATCAGAAATTGATGCACTCCCTTTCTTCCCAAAGCAAGGCAACCAGCATCATACATATTTATCATCTTGAAAAAGGCTGGACACCATGCTGTGATCTTTTCATGTCTATTCTCAAAGATCTGAACTTTACAACATCTACTTTTATTCAAAAGCTATCACTCATACAGATAAACCATTTGAACTTATACATTAAGAACTATAAAAGGGTCTTACAGAAAACTTTTTGGACATATACAATGTATATGTCCAAAAAGTGCCAAACAGTGTCAAAGATATGTGCAGTTCTCATGGGTATAATATTCAATAAAACAGAACTTATTACATAAAACATTCAAAGAACAAACTGTCACCCCTTCAAATTTAAGATATCTAGGTATAATGGTTAATCAGTTACCACCAAAAGAAACAAACAAGTAAACAGATATACTGTGTAGTCACTTCATGAAGTTACTTCATACAGTTAAATACATTCCAAAATTTGTAACTACATAAAATTTAGAGGCCATACACTTAATAGCATTAATGTAGCTCCCACAGCCACTTTGTTGTTATTAGAAGGGAAATGCAAATCAAAAGTAGCATGGCATAACATGCATACATCCAAAGGAAACAGTTACTTCTCTAGCCAGAATTGCTTGTGTTTGTTTAAGCACAACTTCTTGCATGTGGCACATACCTGTATGAGATTTTTTAGGTAAGTTGCCTTGTGCCCCAAAGGGTCTGTAGATAGTCCATCAGCAAAAGACACCAGTCCATGTGGAAAGTTGTGCTGTGAGAGCCAGGAGACAACTTTCTGCTGCTGCATGTCAGGCCGACCTGTGATGTATATGATCAGGTACCCCAGTTCCTGCCAGTGCCTGAAGCAATAAGGCAGTAAACTGTCACCAAGATGACTCAGGTCTCCAATTGTACCGCACTGTCTGAGAGAACAACACACTACTTGATGAAGGAATGAGATTCCAAAGTGTATTCTTGACAGAACTGACATGCATCATATTGTCATGTGTAAGTGACTAGATTTGGGGTTTGGATTTAAAACTGGATTTATTGAACACTTATAATGTGTAGCTATAAATAATTACAACAGCCTCACTAATTTGCATACTCTATAACTCATTACAACTACAGCACATACAAAGTTTTCTGTTCATTATTCTGTCATCACTAGTCGCTGCTAGGCAGTTGGTACTACTCGTAATAATGAAGATTCCTTACAGCCAACCAGGAAAAATTGCCTGATCAGTGGAAGGAGTCAATTATTGTACCAGTTCACAAGAAGGGCGATAAAACTGACTGTAGTAATTATCAGGGGATATCACTGCTATCAACTTCATACAAAATTTTATCCAATATTCTTCTCTCAAGGTTAAGTCCATATATAGATGCAACTACTGGGGATCATCAGTGTGGGTTTCGATGTAACAGATCAACTATAGATCAGATCTTTTGCATTCATCAGATATTGGAGAAAAAATGGGAGTACGATGAGACATTACATCAGCTATTCACAGACTTCAAGAAAATGTATTGTACGATATTCTGATAGAGTTTGGGATACCCATGAAATTAGTTAGGTTGATTAAGATGTGTTTAAACAAAATGTATAGTAAAGTGTGTGTAGGTAAATATTTGTCTGAAAAATTTCCTATCCAGAATGGTCTAAAGCAAGGAGACGCTTTACCACCACTCCTTTTCAACTTTGCTTTAGAATATGCCAATAGGAAGGTCCAGGGAAACACAGTGAGACTGAAATTAAACGGGACACATCAGCTGTTGGCCTATGCCAATGATGTGAATTTACTGGGTGATAATATACAGTAGATACCATAAAGAAAAACACACAAACTTTAATTGACACAAGTAAACAGGTTGGTCTAGAAGTAAACATAGAGAAAACTAAGTATATGTTGCTGTCTCGTCACCAAAATTCAGGGCAAAATCATGACATAAAGATAGGAAACAGATGTTTTGAAAATGTGGCACAGTTCAGATATTTGGGAACAACGATAACAGATCAAAACCTGATTCAGGAGGAAATTAAGAGGAGACTGAACACGGGTAATGTTTGCTACCATTTAGTCCAGAACCTTTTGTCTTCTTGTCTGCTGCCCCCAAACATAAAAAAATTAGAATATACCAAACTATAATTTTGCCTATCGTTCTGTATGGGTGTGAAACTTGGTCTCTGACATTAAGGGAGGAAGATAGACTGAGGGTGTTAAGAGAATATTTGGACCGAAGAGAGGTGAAGTAAGAGGAGGTTTGAGAAACTTGCACAATGAGGAGCTTCATAACTTGTACTCTTCTCCAAGTATAATTAGAATGAACAAGTCAAGGAGGATGAGGTGGACAGGGCATGTAGCACGAATGGGGGAGACGAGGAATGTGTATAGGATATTGGTGGGAAAGCCAGAAGGAAAGAGACCATTGGGAAGACCAAGGCGTAGGTGGGTGGACAATATTAAAATGGATTTTAGAGATATAGGACAGGATGGTATGGATTGGATTGATCTGGCTCAGGACAGGGACCAGTGGAGGGCTCTTGTGAACATGGTAATGAACATTCGGGTCCCATAAAATGCTGGGAAATTCTTGAATAGCTGCAGAATTTGCGGCTCCTCCAGAAGGGCTCAGCTCCATGAGTATGTAAGTAAGGGCCTTGCCATATAGCCTTGGTGTAGACAACACAGAAAACACCACTTCCAACAGTTTCATTATTGTTGTGTGTTGATATTTTGGTGCAGAACTATAATGTGGTGTCAGTATCTGTTGCTGCGGAAACATGTTTCCTGTGCCACTGCTAAGCAAGACTGCCTTTACACACTCCACTATTCCAGCATCCAGCCATCATGTGACACCATCAAAAGGAAACCATAAAGTGTGAAGAATACCATCTTCTGGAATGTGATACCATGAAGTCTGGTAGAAGTTTACGGATGTTTCAGTGGAATGTGCTACCTCTACATTCAGTGTGGGAGTGTCTTTGTACAGCTCCCAAATATACCTATCATGAAGCTTCTGCCATCTGGGCCAGAAGCCCCAATCAGAGATCATACTTCATCTACTGGTGCCACTTCTAAATTCCAAGAGGCCATAAAGGGTTAGGCCTTTATGGCCTGAATTATTGTTTTTGCATAAATTATGAGTAAGAGACTTACATGCTAGAGCAGTGTTTCCCAAATGGTATTAAGTGTAACACCAAGGTTCTGCAAAGTGAAAATATGGGGTTCCACAAGAACATTCTGTTAAACTTTAATGGCCGAATGTTATATATATATGCAGCAAGCAGCACCCTGAGTTGGCCGAATATTATATATATATATGCGGCAGGACACGTGCTCTCTTTGGGAGTGCTGACAGTTTGACCTTGGGTTTGAAACCAAAACAAACCCAGGCAAGGTCATGTCAGTGGTTCATTCCTTAGCTCTGCAAAATGAAATCGTTCATCAAGGTATTGGTTTCGATACTATTTGTGTTTAGATATAGCGGCCTCCGTAGTCTAGAGGTAACGTTCCCACCTCATGACTCGTAGTACGCGGGTTCAAATACCCGGTGGAGGTCGTCGAATTTTTAAGGGCGGAAAAATTCAGGGAACAAGTCCTCCAGGAGGGACTTTAAGCCGTGGGTCCTGTGTCGTAGCTTTACAGCACGTTAAAGAACCTCATACCTCCAAAGGAGATCACTGAGCAAAATTGCGGACGTTTGCCGCCCAACAGCAGTCACTAATAACTTCTCAGCCAGTAGAGCTGGTCTGGCTGGCTGGGCGGGACTGATGGTAAGCACCAGTACCGGTAGGATATAGAGACTGGTAGAAATCATACAGGGAAGCACAATGGACCACTACAGGTCTAAGTGCATGGGGAAACCCACCCTCTCTAATAACTAACTAACTACGTTTAGATATGACTGTTTATGACCTGGTCAGCCAAATATAGCCCAGCTTTGTGTCCAGAACTGATGAGAAAATATTCATAAGTGCTTGCATATGAGTAACTCCAGAGCCTTCAAGGAAGTGTGAAACATTCAAGGATTGGTTTTCAGTGGAGAATTATCAGTTAGGAATTTAGTGTCAGATTGTCTAACATTTCTTTATCAGTTAACCCTTTGACGTTGTCATTTAAATTCCGCGGCCTCGGCTCCTGCGGTAATATATTCAGCCGGCCATTTAAATTTTGCTCGAAAATGATTTATTCATCATTGTTCTTAAATTCTATGAGATAGGAACATGAAACTTTCACTAAAATGATCTTAAATGGTGGTTTTATAACCT